TGTTTACTTTTTCTGACGGACAGCGTCGCTTCTCCATCGCTCGTGTAATCAATGTCGACTTGAACACACTTTTTTGCCGTCTTTATATAATAGTTGATGAAACAGTTTCATTCTTACGGAAATTACAGAAAAAAAACGGCTGAGAACGGCGAAAATTGGATTGAAAAATGTGTGGCCGCGTGGCCGAACTCAAGATTTTTCTAGTCCCTCGTTGGCGAGAACTGAGCGGCGCTTCAATTTTGTCGGCGTTTTTCAGGGACTTCGACTTTTTTCTGAATTTTTTCGTATTAGTATTATAAAAATACCTTACTTCGAGAACATATTGAAACAAAAAAAATCAAACATAATTTTATGGTCGGAGTCCCCCTTTCACGCGGAATTGGTAGAGGAGGGAAGGGGAAGCCGACATCCCCAGCGCACCGAAATGGGCCCAAATTTTCAGACAAAGTTTTTCGGCCTGGGAGTGAGAACGGGCTAACAATTTTTTCGTCATCGTATAGAGCATGTCTTAAACTATAAGTGTGCAAATTTTGAGCAAATTCTCAACCGTTGTCTAAAAAACCTTCCCTTGTTAGCACCCCTATTCAGCAAATAAATAAAAAGAAATTAAAGGGGGAATCCGACCAAAAATTTTTTTTTGTATTAAAATGTTTCAAAAGTTATCTATTTTTCGAATATTATTGCGAAAAAATTCGAAAGAAATCTGAATCNCGAGATAAAAACCCCGTTGGNNACTGAANAAAATTCAAAAAATGTGGCCGCCGAGGACAATGATTTGAATTCCCGCGCAATGAGATACCTATGCCACGGCGCCTGATAGCATTATTTTCAAGTGTCCGACAGTGTTTTTTAACGTTTTTTACCTGTCGGAGATAAAAGCGAAAAAAAAAATCCGGAAAAATTGTCCGTTAAGAAAGTCGCGTCGCTGGCGTGGCCTAGGTTTCTCACTGAAAATCCTCGTCCCTCGGCGGCACCTTTTTTGATTTTTTTTTTCCTTTTCAACGGCGTTTTTCGGGGATTTCGGATTTTTAAAAAAAATTTTCGCAATAATATTAGGAAAATAGATAACTTTTAACACATTTTAATGCAATAAAAAATTTGACCGGAGTCCCCCTTTAAACGTGAAAGTACTTTCGAAAATATTAGAAATCAAATTTAAAATTCTGAAATTCCAATCCAAACAAGCAAAAAATTGAAAAATCGAATTCAGATTTTTTCAAACTATAAACCCATAGAAAGAAGTTCAAAAACTTTAGAAACAGTTAACCATTCAGCCTTCATTGAAATTTAAAATAGGAAAGTAATTTTCGAATTTTCACGTGAGAAAAATGGGAAGATAATTATTTATCAAAAGCAACAGGGACTTTTGTCGATCGAATAGTGCACTGGTTTACACGCCGGTGTGTGAAGCGATCGACCCGAGTTCGATCCTCGCTCGAGACGTCGGATTTTTGGAAGAGAGAAAAAATCCGAAAAATCGGAAAAATAAGAATGCTCCCTCGAGTAACAAACGAGCGCGCTTCCATTCACATCCGATCCAAGCCACGATCATCCTCGATGTTGTCCTTGGAAGCCTGGAAGTTGTCAAAATCCTGGAGACTCCTGAAACTTGAGTTTATTGGAATTACCATAGAATTACCACTTCCTCACTTTTCAATTTGTTTCCCTAGAAAACAGGCTTAGAAAAAAAGTCCCCTAGAAAACAAATCAGCCCTTTAAAACTTTTTTTCTGAGCCTGTTTTTGAGGTCTGCTTTTCAAGGGTTGAGCCTACTTTTTGAGGGGTGAGCCTACTTTTAAAGGGCTGATTTGACTTCTAGGGGACCACATTTCAAAGCCTGTAATCTCGGGAGCCAAAAGGGAAAGAGTGGCAGAGAACTGCGCACTGTTAGTGGCACCCCTCAACTCATATAGCCCCCAATCCTGAAAAATCCTGCAACTTGAACGTTGTAAACACAGTACTGATTTTCTAACTGACTTCTGGATTCTAAGCATTGCCATCAGATCGATTGAACTTTGGGGAGGTGACGTGAAAATCATCGAGTGGCTAAACTATTTGAGACCACTTTAGGAAGACGATTTGAAAAATTGTGTTAGTTTGAAATATTTCGAAAACAGAGTATTCTTTTTTTGTTAGTCTCAATAAAGTTTCAGCCCTCGAACTTGGGTTCAAAAAAATTTATGTTTAAAGCTATTAATGAATATAATTATTTTTTAAAAGAAGAAGAATAGAGAACAATCTCAAGCAACCGTCGTCCGGTTGAAGCAAGGGTCAAATGATAAATTGTAAGATTGTCAAAGGAAAGAAGTAATCAAAGTATGTCATACAGAACTTCAAGCTTTTATTATTTAGTAAATACTAGGAGTTTCGAGTACAGACACTGATCGATTAGTGAATGGAAACAATACATTGATAAAATGAAGTTGAGAAAAAAAGCTGTAGAAGGTAAAACATTATTTTTCAATCTTCGAGTATAATGATGTCATTGGTCACGAAACTGGTCCTTTTTGCAGAATTGCTCTTCTCCAAATCTGGTGAATCAATAACTATAGTTTCCTGGGAGGCTTGCCTGAAATGTTTTTAGAAATTACGTGATTTATACGAAATTATGTTACCCCTTGGGACCAGATCTGTGCGGCTCGGAAAACAGAATATATCCATGTGCCTTGAGCAATGCCTTGGTGTCTCTTCTGAATACTTGAACATCTTCCTCCGTGTACCACAATTGATTTTTGACAATTGATTGAGCCATGAGACAAACGTGAATCCCACAATTCACTTCATCCCTTTGAGCCGGATTCGGACGATCAAAGTAGCGACGGTTTCTGTTCATTTCATCCATAAACTTTTTCACATGTCCGCGCGGCTCCTTTCTCAAACTGTCCGCATACCAAATCGACGACGCATCAAAGATTAAAAGAATCCAATGGCTTTTCTCACAAACTGGGAACAAATACATTTTGGAGGGATTCAGGGTTCTCTGGATGCTCGCCACTCCGTGTCTCTTGTACATTTTCCAACTGCAGGGATCCACAAAATCGAATTGATTATTGACAAGCTTGTTGAAGAACCAATGGATTACTTCATCGCAAATCCATGCCTCTCTGCCAGTTTCATGATCGAGGCACCATGTGTTGAATCGCTTATTTGGAATCACTTTCTCGACGATGATGCTGAAATACCAATTTGCTGTAATGATTTCAGAATTGGAGAACTTACTCTGGACTAGATGAGTTTGTCAAATTTGCCGACCGAACAGAAGTATCTTGTGAAGTGTATGGGATTAAGGGGTTTGAAGAGGAGCCAGAGTTACCAAGAAGCAAAGCAAGGGAAGTGGAGGTCTGCAAAAACTAAATTTTCAAATTTAGAAATGAATGTTTTATGGAATACAGTAGCACCTTGCCTAATAAATTAAAATTTACCTCAAGATTCAAAGACGATTCGATATTTGTAATCGAGAGTCCGGAAGCTTCTGGAATTTGAGACAAGGATCCAGTCTGGAAAATTTCAGACATTGACCATTCTGTTATATTCAACACTAACCTTTATGGCTTCTTTTTTCAGGAGATGATCAGAATTTGAATTTGGAGCAATCGAATCGTTAGTGAACATGGCTGGCATAAGAAGAGTATGTGATTGGGCCTGCAACTTATTTCGAAATTTCCAACCAAATTTTCTTCGCTTACAGTCGTGTCTGGTTCTGTGAGCGACGAAGAAGCTGTGGAAGTCGGAGTTCCACTGATTTTCTCGACTGGTGATTGCTCTTGCTCCATTTCCCTGAAAGTGTCAAACTTGGGAACCAAAAAATACAAACAATTTTCAGATGGGCAGTGCAAAGTTTATAAGAAAATGACCCTTGAGATAAAGCACGAGTTCAGATTTTTGCATTCTTAGTTATGATTTTCGTTGGAAAACATAGTCAATGCTAAGAAACTAATTTGACATATTGATTTTAAATTTGAAGAACTTACATTGAATTTGGGTTTTGGGCTGGGAAGCTGTTTTGCGAACCAATACGATTCTTTAGGATCTCAATGAGAATTCAGTTCGATGTATGATTAAGTGAAGGCAAGATAGCGGACGCCTGAAACGGTCAACTTTTTGAACTGAAGAAGAACTTTTCAAGATTTGGTCTGTTTCTTTTTGACGAAATCGTGTTTACAAATATTGTAAAACTTGTAATATAGAGTGTTTCACTGACTTCTAACTTTGAGTAAGTTTTTTTCGATTTCATTCAAAGGTATAAATGATTTGTCAATTGATAAATTGTTCATCGTAATATAAAAATTGTCAGTTGACACATTTCTGATTTCATGTATAGGAGCCAGTCCGGATAACTTCCATCATTGATCATTTTTCTAGTCACTAACCATATTGACAAAAGCCGCCAAGTCCATAGTCTGGATCACTGACACAGGGAAAGACGAGTCGGTAATTGTCAGTAAGAACCCGGAATTTCCTGGAACTTGGAGCAAGGATCCAGCCTAAAAATTTCTAACAATTGATAATTCTGATACATTCGGCACTAACCATATTGACATCTCCAAAGTCTTTATTCAAGAGATGATCAGAAGTTGCATTTGGGGGAATCGAGTCGTTAGTGGACACAGGTAGATTATGTGATTGGACCTGAAACTAATTTTCTAAATTCCAACCAAAATTTACCCTCTTACGGTAGTCCCTGAGTTTGCAAGCGGCGAAGTATCTGTGGAAATTGGAGTTCCGCTGCTCTGCTCAACTGTTGACTGTTGCTTCTCCATTTTCCTGAAAGTATAAATATTAGGAACCAAAAAAGGTCATGAAGAGTTTTTAAAAAGTTTCGAAAGTCTGGATAAAAATTATTTCAGACTCGCACTGTAAAATGTATAGCGTGCTATCAGACTGGCTTATGCTCCTTCCATTTTCACAATCACCCTTTTCTCTAGTTTGTCTCTGAACATCTCTAAAATATTATAATGTTGAATCTATAGCTTGATTTGTTTGTCAGACTACGAGCCCGAAAGTTAACCGGGTAAAATTAGCCGGTCTCTCGAATAATTTTTTGATACGCTTCTGACTGACTCCTCTGTCTTATTCTTTTTGGATCTTATGGACGGTGTCTGTATGGGATCATCCCCCTTTTCTACAGTCAATTTGTTTATAATATGTTTCCGATCTGCTTCTGCTCATCGGCGAGATTCTTTCGGAAGGTGTCGGCATGCCGTTCCTTTTCGGAGGGAACTTCTTGCGCGTAATTGTCATTTGATAGGTTTACAAGCACCAGCAGATGCTTCAGATACACATTTTTGACAGAGATAAAGAAATTCAGATAGCAGAGGTGTTTAACAATGCTTCACGATTGTTAGATTTGATGAAAGCATAAAAGGACGGATAGAAAAATTGAAAGTAGCTTCCGTAAATTCTCTAATAGTAGGCCACCTTATACGCGAAATGCTCAATTATCTCATTTCATATCAGAGATATTGAAACTCTTTCAATTGATAAAATGTTGATGATATCATGGCAAATATTTTATCAGTTGACAGACTTTTGATATTTCCCATAGGAATCGACATAATTTGGCTCAAAGACAAGGTAATATCTTTTAGTAGGTTTCCAATCTTCTTGACTTTTTCCTTGCTCTGAATTTATCTCTCCAATAAACCATGAAGAATTCATGATATTATACTACTATAGGTTTTCAGTTTTTCAAAATCTTTAATTTCAGAAGAATTTAAAAATTCTGATATTGCTCACAGAAAACAAAATAATTGAGTTCATACTTTTTCAGACCATCAAATTTTATTATTTTTCGACAAAATCGATATTTTTCTGTCTGAATGAACAGAGAAAAATAACGAAAAATATGACTATTCGTTTTTTTCCCATTTTTTCTTACTACTTCTTGTGACTTTGATTCTATGCAGTTTTAACATATATTTGTGGGCACAAAAATGAAATCAATTCAAAATACACAAAAAAATGGAGAAGATGATAAAAAAGAGGAAGTCCCAATATACCAACTAGAGAAACAAAAAGACAAAAAAAGGAGTAGGAAACATTTTGCAGAGAAACAAGAGACGACCTATTGCGAAAACGATGCATAAATGTGACTAATGGAAATATGGGGGAAATGAGTCATTTATAGAGGGATACTGTAGTTTTCAATTTTTATGAAAACAGGGGGGAGATGTCTATTTCTCCAACTCCAAAAGATCTTTGATCATGTAACTTTTGTGTCCTTGATCCGTTGATGGGCTTGGATAGAGTGTAGTTGGTGAAGATTCAGTCCTTAAAAATTAATTTAAAAGTTAAAAAAAAATAGTTTGGAGTACAGTACCATTCAGAGGCGGCATCCAGAAATGGTTGGTCCTTGTAGAAGTATGACCAGACTGCAAACAAATGAGCGTCTGTGTTGGGTGGGTTCTGAAAGTTAACTTCAAAAAATGAGTTCAAGTTATCCTTGCAAGTAGCTGTACCCCATTTCCTTTAATGGACACCCATTTAAACCATCAACTTTGAGCTCAATTATCGCTATCCCTATGCAAGATATCAAAAATGCGTCTACGCATAAAATGTTTGTGATATTATGATAAACAATTTATCAGTTGGCTGCACCCCTAGGGTTCTGTTCCCTTAGATGTAGTCAGCATCTGCATTAACTCCCATGAAAAGTTAGGGGCCCTTCTATTACAGGTTTTACGGTATAACATTCAAACCTCAGACATTATCACAATATCTCAGGACATTGATGACAGCAAAAGCTTGGAAAAATGAACAAAAAAAAACTCACTTCGTTAGCCAATGCGAGCCCTTGCCAAATCTTCAAAACAGTCTTTGCCACAATTCGATTACTGTACTTTTCTGGAGCTAAACTTCCCGGTTCCAATCCATTGACAATTATTGAAAACGCTACAGGTGAGCCAGTTTTCTCGAAAAAAACTCGATGGACACAGCGATCGGACATATTTGAAAATGTCCATCCACAACAGAAACAGGTAATCGGTTGGTTGATTTCGTGGAATTTGGAGAGATGATCTTTCGGGGATTCATGGGAGAAGAGAAAGCGATTGCAGAGAAGACATTTGTTTTCATGGGAATGTAATTTTTCTCTATGGAACAAGAGAGTTCTGACAGAAGCCAATACTTTTCCACACGAAGAGCATTGAACTGAAAGTAGAGATTTTTAGAATAGCAGAACTCCAAAGCTTCCGAGTTGGACTTTACCTTCAGTTTTCTGTTGGTTGTTGGCTTTCGGTTCTTCCTCTGTATCGGTAGACATTTTCTGAAAAAAAAACACCTATTAAGATAGATAGAGACAGACGTTTTTTCGAACCTCCAGAAAAGAATGAAATGTGAATACAATTGTTACTCACCACTCTCCTCCTCCTTTCCCCCTATTGACATTTGCTCCTCCTACCATCTGCCTCAATGTTTTTGTTTCACAACGATAATGTGGGAGACTTTTGGAAATAAGAATAAGGGAACTTATTACCTCGGAAAGGTTATAGCTACTGTTGAATGGATCTTTTGGGTTCAATGGCTTACTGGAGCGCTGGGGACTAGGTATACCCGCAGACTTAATTTTTAATATAGGGCACCTACAGTAGTACTTCAACTTTCAACTTCTGACCAAAAATGATATTCTTTCAAAAGCTAAACTAACGACATCATTTGACCAGAAGTTTCAAATCGACAGCTGAGTAGTTTTCTTCGAACTTTTCATAATTTTGACAGTTTTGCCAAAATCAAGGCGGGCCTTTCAAAATATAACCACTGAATTTGATGAGTCAATTATTTCAAGTCGTAATTTTATTCATAGCATAAAACCTGGAAATCAGTTTGAAGTTGAAATTATATGAGCTAGAATTTACGGGAGATAAGCCTTTAAAGGTGGGGGGACAGGAGATTTTTCGTAGTTTTTTTGTAGCTATAGTATGCATTCTACCGTCACGGTGTACAACGCTTAATGTCACTCTGCGTACAGCTGTCGTCCTCGCCTTTATGTATGCAATCGGGCGTCCGCTTTCTCTTTGCCCGCGTGGCTCGGTCGGTAGCGGCGCCGCACCCTCAATCCTCGCCTTCACAAGTTCAACTCCTCGAGGGGCATCTTTGAACGGAATTTCGAGAACATTATTTTTTTCATGTCCCCCCACCTTTAAAATTCAATAAGTAGTAGATTGGTTCACATTAACAGTGACTTACAATTAGAATTCACAGCTTTGTAGAACACAGTTGCTCACAATTAGAATGGTACAAAAAAATTAAATACACAACAAATATGGAATGCTTTGTATGTTGAGAAGAATTGGGCAAAAAAAGAAGGTGAAAATTAAAAATAAATGTTTTTGGGACCTATGAGATTCTAGTTACGGCAGTTGAAATAAACAGGAAAAGTTGGAAAGAGATACATCGAGAAAAACTAAATAGACATCAAAAATGGAATGTTTTGTATGTTGCACAAGGTAAAGATTAGGTAAAAAGGAAACAACAGAATTGAATGTTTCTGGGACTAAAAAGCCTGAAAAAGATGAAAGTTCTAGATACAAAACAGAAGGGGTTTTCCTATCTAATTCAAAATATCGTCCATCATAAAAGAGTTCAATTTTCGATTCTGAGTCATTGGAGAGCTATCGGCTGATGAGTCAGTAGACGAAGACGAGGGAGGAGAAGACGCGATTGATCCGGAATTCTGGAATACAAAGTTTGTTCGACTTATAACTTATTCTAATAGGATCTCTTATTGCAAAACTGGTGAAGTAAAAATTTAGGAGTCGCGAGTTAAAAAATGAAAATCATTTCTTTGCATTTTGAGGTAAAGGCCTTTGCAAAAACTACGGTACATTTTGAACTCACCAAGAGGTTCTGATTGATCGTCCCCAAAACAGTAAGCGTTGGCAAGTTCTTGAATGCATTCATTCCGTGCCAATTGGAATTTCCAATGGTTGATGGAGATCTCATGGAGGCCTGGAAATGAACAAAAAACATAATTTCCAAAAAGCGAAGCTTTGATGTACTCACCGAGAGTTTTCTATGATTAACTGTCTGCCAAACCTCTAATTGTCCTCTGACACGTTTATCAAATCGATCGGAGAATTTCATGAATGTTCCCGGTTTTGAACCATTCAAAATCACCGGAATAGTGAACCCATTACCACCGACAACTCCACTGATAAGCCATCTTCTGTGATTGTTTTTCTCGTGAATATTCCGAAAAGTCCATGAGCAGCATCCACATTCTACTGGCTTAACAATACTATGAGCAAAGTGGAGATGATGTTTGGGTGGCTGATTGGGTGGGAGGTAGGTGTCACAAATGATACAAATGTTCTTCGTGTTGTAAGCTTTGCATTGATGACGATGGAGAAGCGTCGGGGTTTTGAAGGTTTCAGCACAGATATGACATGCGTAGAAGTCTGAAATTTGAGATTGGAAGAAGTGAGAAGAACATTAGAGGGGTCTTACAAGGTGCAGCTTTAGACTTAGATGATTTTCCACAAGATTTGACAATCGTCTGGTTATTTGGTTTCACAGATAAGGTAATGGGGTATTCTGGAGACAAAACTGGCATCAGAAGGTCAGAGGAAGAGGTATTCTGAAATGATTTTTCTTATTTCTAAAAATATATTCAATGACTTACCTTAGGAAGTGACTTCAACACTGGAATGTCCAAATGCAGAGGAATAGTGGGATCCAAGTTGCTCATTTTTTGACAGAGTACAATTAGACCGAGTTGGGAGAACACAAGAGAAAACCAGACAGAAGAGCAGGTCTCTCGAATGGTTATGACATCCGACTGACTCATCTGGCTTCTTTTTATATCCGATGGGCGGAGTCTGTCTCGTGGACCATCCCCCTTTTTGATTTGTTTATAATCTATTTACGATCTGCTTCTGCTCGTCGGAAGGTGTCGGCATGCCCTCTCTTTTTGGCGGGAACTTTTCCCGCCTGTAATGCGATAGGTTTACAAGCACCACCAGATGTTTTAGATAAACGATTTAGATAGAGATGGAGAGGTTAAGATAGTGGAAATGTTTCAAAATTATTTATGACTGTTAGATTCGTTGAAAGCATATTAGTAAAGGTAAATAGCGGTCGGCAGTTGATGGGTTATCTATATGCCGAGATTTTCGAATCTCAATTATTATGGAAGCTCATCCTGCTCGCAGGTCGAGAAAAAAAGCGATAACGAGAACAAGATTAAGAAAATTTGAGAATAATCATCGTAAATTCTCTAATAAAAAACATACACCCTAGCTAGAGTCGATGGGCTGTTTTTGAATGGGTTACTGTCAAGATGAGCTTTCAAAACGAAAAATACATAGAAAGAGAGTTTCAAAGTATATTATAATAAAGTACATATAACGAAACCCTATAGTGATTGATTGGAAAAAGAGGAATATGGAAGAGGGTGTGCAATTTAAAAGTTCAGACGAAGAACAACAGAATCAATAACATCAACTAAATTTTGAGAATATTTTCAACACTGAAAAGCGGTTTCTTTTTCATGATTTTTTCGATCATAAGTTCCTGCTTCCCAACGACATTTTGAGTCACTGGCGGAGCTGGAGCTGGAGCGGAAATTGGAGCTGGTACAGAGATCGGAGCCCGGAAAGAGATCGGAGCTGATACAGATATCGGAGTTGGAACAAGAATCGGAGCCCAAATAGAGATCGAAGCCGGAACAGGGATATGGGAGGTAACCTGAAAATGTGGAGCACTGAGAAAAACGGAAACTATAATAATCGCTAATGCATAACTTATTCTGAACCTACCGAGTTATTTTCCTTGTTTTTCTTCGCATCCTGAGGGACTGTCGTCTTCTCGTATTCAGACATTCGGCAGAGAATTCCAGCAACCTCCAACTCATCTCTGTGTTGGGTGTTCATATGCTTGAACAATGCTCCTCGAGTCATAAACTGTTCATCACACAACAAGCACTCTGTTGAATTTCCTCCAAATACATTTGTTCTGATAGACGTTGTCTTTGTCCGTTGTTCCGACGTGATTGGTTGGTTTCCGTGTTTCTCTCTAAAATGTATCGTCAAGCTGTTTCTCCGGCAGTACTCTTTTTGGCAAATTCTGCATTTATCTGTAATTTAAGTTGTCGATTTTTGTGTTTCTATACTTTTCAAACTAACGAATGGCCCGTTCCATTCTCGCTTCTTTTTTATTCATTCCCAGTTCCGAATAGACTCCTGGAGCTTTGTGAACGCTTTCCCTATGGGTGTTCAATCTGTATATTGACGAAAGTTGCTTAGAGCAAATATCGCAATCAACTGAAAATTAAGATTTTGATTGGAGCCCATAATTCTAATTTAGAAAAAAAAACCTACATTTAGTTTTCTTTTGCGAGAATGGAGTTGTTTGGTGAGCTTTAGACGAGAAGAGTTGTGCAGACATTTCTGGAAAAGTTCCACTTTAAACGAGAATTGAGCAGTGTACTCATTATAAGATTATTAAGAGAAAATGATGAGGGAAGGTGTCGATGGTCGTGAATGAGAGAAGTCATACAAGAATACATAGATGTCGCCTCTCGTGGTCCATCAGTATTCATTGCGTAATAGTGGGCGTGTTCTTCTTTTTTAGGTGTAGAGTGGTGCTCTTCGGGACGTATTGCCCTGATGATACTGTACCTTCCAAGTGTTTTCGATTTGGTGTCATCCCCCCTCTCTCGACTTCTGTTTTGGTGTGTTGCGTAACCTTCAAAACGAACGGATGGGCAATCGAAGTACGGTTATTGAGCCGAAGATAGAGGGAGAGCGCAGGTATTCTTCTGTACACCGTGTCGTGTTGTATCTTCGCGAAGATATAAAATACCGAAAAAGGTAAGGGTATAAGATGCTAAACGTGTATTTCTTTGAATTTTTCTGACAATACCATAAGTTATCTGAAGGCGTTTGAAATTGTCCTTCTATCGTAGACATTCTAGTATTTTTCTCATTTTGTGCCTTGAGATGTATGGAATGTTTATTATGTTAAAAAATAAAACGTTATTAGTGTTATGGTAGGTGATGCTGGAATTTAGATCAGATTGAAGACAGCAAGTATTTTGCGATTTTCAGAGATGTAGTTTGAAGTATAAAAAGAAAAAATTGAGACGAGGTATGGGAAAGAAAAACAAAACGAAGTGGGATTTTCTAATTCAGAATGTCGTTGATCATAAATGGCGTCCTATTTCTATTCGGAAATGCTGGTAGAGTATTGGCCGGGGAATCAGAGGGTAGAGTTCCAGAAGAAGAAGAAGATGCAAGCGATTCGGAAATCTGGAATGCAAAGTCCATTTGTTTTTTTGTCTGCGATTTCTAATACAGTTCCCGACAAGACGCGAATGACTTATTCTTAACTGACCACGTTGTTTTCCTTGTTGGCATCTTGTTCCGGAGGGACAGTCCCTGTGACCGACATTCTCGTGAAAATACCAGCGTGTTGGACTTTTCCTTCATGCTGAGTATTAATATGCTTGAACAATGCAGGCAGAGTCCAAAACTTCTCCTTACACAAAAAGCACTTGGCTGAAATTTCTCAACTTGTATTTATTTTGATACCCATTGTTTTACCTGGAGGACACTGTCCCGGATTGATCGGTTGATTCTCATGTTTCTCTTTCAAATGTTTCTTCAAGCTGTATGTCGAGCAGTAACATTTCTGGCAAATTCTGCATTTGTCTGTAATTCAAAATTTTGATTTCTGTGTGTGGACACTATTCAAACTAACAAATAGCTCCTTCCATTCTCGATTTTGTTATATCCAACCATCTTTTAGTAAAAATTTCTGGAGCATTATGATCCTTTTTTCTGTGGTTATTCAATTACGATCTTTTTGAGAATTCCTTAGGGCAGAATTCGCAAGGAACTGAAAATTAAGATTCTCCTTCCTCTACGCTCCAAGAGAATATGTTTTTCTGTTTCATCACTTTGAAAGAGGGTTTTGATCTTACAAGTTCATTATACATAGGTTTTACGTTCAATTAATAAGGTCGTATGATGGTGTTAGTACATGACAGCGCTATGCTTTGAGTTCAGCTCACAACAAAAAAACAAATGACAACCGAGTGTCGAAAACGGGAATATGGAAAGATTGGTCTAAACAAACACTAAAAACTACTAGTAAAAACAAGGGGTTTGAGAGTCGATAGAAATGGAACATGATAAAAGTATGAAGCGATATCGATAAATTAGTATAAACACAAAACACTAGTTAATCAACAATAAACTAAAATGATAATTATTACTCGAAATCTTCGTCGTCCTCCTCGACTCCAATTCCGTTCTCTTGGGGATGCAGGCATCCTTGGGCTCTCGGCACATCCTTGATGTATCGTTGTAGACCTGCCAGCGATCTCCATCTCCCTCTTGATTGAATCTCCTCCATTGAATATCCTGTCGCCCTCATGTGATTCGCTCCTCCTCTCCGGAAAGCGTGATGGGTGGCTCCAGATTTTCCAATTGCCGCCAGCATCTTAGTGGCTAGTGCAGAGATCGACGATTTCGTCAGTTTCTTTGAACCATCAAGATTCGAGAAAACGTACGGACACTTTCCTCTTGAGTGAATCCTCCATCTACACATGAGAATATCCGCGTCACTTCCTGGATCATAGTTGAAGAACGATGATCGTCCTAGTCTCCACTGGTCATTCTTGGCCTTCTCCACGTGTACCTCAATCATCCCATCTTTTTGCGTCACTCCTTCCCACTTGATCTCGGCGGCTTCCGAAGCTCTCAGCATGACGTGAAAGGAAAAGATTGCCAACAGTGCATATCGATCTCTGGCCGGAGTAATCTCGTCCATCGCTAGTTTGGTGATCTTCTCGACGTCTTGAATGGTCACCTCAACTACAGTCTTCTTGCCCTGAACCTCCTCCCTCCTCTTTGACTTGATTACGTCCGAAACGAAAGTTGCTCCGATGGCCGAAATTCCTTGGTTTGCAGCTTGATATGCAGCCGATATTTTCGACAGAGCGCTGCTTCCAATTCCTTTCGCTCGATCGACCAAATACAACAAAAAGGAAGACTCATTCAACGGAAGTCTCTTCTCAATTATCCAATCCTTCCTCCTCTTGTTCTCTGCTTTATAAGCCAGAGCAGTCGACGAGGCCTTAGATTCCAGTGGAGCCGCTTTGAGCTTGTCCAGGTGCGTCTGGAATTCTTTCCCTGCTTGTCTCTCGATCTCTTCGATGTAATCCTTTTTGGGGCCTTCTGAAAATTAGTTTATAAACTCTTTTGCCCTTCTTTATTCCTCTTCCCCAGGCGGGCGGGCTGGGACCCTCGTTAAAATTGCGTAGAATGGTTTGAAAACTCCGTTTTCACGCCCGGCGGTCGTGATCGTTGCGAGACCACAGGCCGCCGAAAGTTTGACTCTTTAACTCTCGCGCGCCTCTTTCTCCGTTCTTCAACGAAAAACATAATATTTTGATTGGGAACAGTAAAAAAAAGAGTTTTCAGAAAAAAGTAAAAGCCAACTTTTAGCATTCTTTTGCGTGACTGCTTTAGAAGATGGAAGTTGCGAAGACATTTCTGGAAAAGTATCACTTTATGAGAGAATTGAGTAGTGTCCTATTTATAAGAATAATAAGAGGGAATTGGGAGGAAAGGTGTCGATGGTCGTGTATAAGAGGAGTCATACAAGAATACGTAGATGTCTTCTCTCGTTGTCCATCAGAATCCATTGCGTAATAGTGGGCGTGCCCACTTTTTCTGGGTTTTCTGTTCGGGTATTCGTGGATCTTCTACCGTACTCTTTTTTGAAGAATATCAGGTTGGTACTTTATAGTACGTTAATCATGAAATAAGAAAGTTATTTGTCGAGTTTTCAGAAGCTCCGGACTATTGATTTGAAGCATGAGCATCCGGTTCTTCTAGCGCTATAATATTTTGTGACCCTTTGAAACAATCTTTTCTAAATTCAATTTGAAAACTAGACTCGTTTTAACTAGCAGTTTGTCCTGTAATGAATGGAAAATCAATCGTTCCACGATGAATTTTCACAAGCGGCGTAGAGGAGAAGTAAACAAAAAGTTAGCTAGATAGGTCTAATCCACAATGAAGGACAAGGTCGTGTACGAGGCGAATCGCACAAGAAGACGTGAAAGAGAACGTCTTCTATCGTTGGTGGAGTTCCGACGAGGGGATTACGCACTCAACACACTGCTCTCTTTTATGTGCAGTATGGAATTGGGATCGATACTTTGTACATCGTGATTTTATGTAGAGTATTAGAATGTACTTAAATGAATACCATCTCTTGGTTTGTGATATTTATAGATTTATTTTATGACCGATAGTGAAAAACAAAAATGGTCTAACACAATTCAAGGTAAAAGAATAACTAGGATTGATTGATGGGATTGAGGACATTTTTGCAATTGGCGGACTTGATATTGGAACTGAAATATCATTCAAAGAAGTTAAATGACACGAAAGTAACGAATTATTCTAGCAATTAATTTTACACATCGAGTTTGATTCGAGTGGTTCTAGAAAACGGTCGATCCCAAATCCTAATGGACTCCTCACGCTGTCAGACACATCTTCAGCCATCGGTTGAGTCAGAAAGGTCTCCGAAATCTGAAAGTGGTAAATTTGATCTTCAATAAAGCTAGTTTCGATATTCAAAACTCACTGGTTCATTTTCTTTGTTCTCAATCATTTTTTGGATTGAGTAGTAAGCCATAAAAACGTCTTGTAGAAATTGAGACTCATTGAAGTCGGGATCTGACGCTTTGAACCGAGCGATTTCATTCTCCAAATGGATCTTCGGAGATCCATGCTTCACACTAACATGTCTGCTGAGACCAGACCTTTGTGCAAAACTGCTTGGGCAGAGCTCACAGGAAACTGAAAATTATCAAATTATTTCTAAATTACCGTAAAACCTCTAATAGAACGACATTTTCCGGATCGTCCCACTTTGAGCCTATATATCTCATTTCTTTTGAAAGATATCAAAAAGTGGTTAACTAGTAAAATGTTTATCAGGATATCAGCAACATTTTACTAGTTAGCCACTTTTTGATATCTTTCACAGAAAATGAGATATATAGGCTCAAAGTGGACGATCCGGGTGTCGTTCTATTAGAGGTTTTACGGTAAAATGATAAAAATTACATTTCTTCTCGGGAAGTGGTTTGCATTTTCCTTGATTTTTCTTGTTATGCCCTTTCAGATATATCCTGTTTTTGAAGACGAATCCGCAAGTTTGACAGGTCACTGAAAATTATTTATTTGAATTGGAACTTTCTATTCAACTTACGATTGTTCTCTTGGATAGCATTTCGGTTTTGATTGATGCTAGATGGAGCAAATGGAAGTGACATTTCTGAAATTGAATATTTAAGATAAAAATATTGTTAATTCGTATTAATATTTTTTCAGAGTTTTTCAACTTTCCAGAATTGGCTTAAAAGAAGGAAAGATGATCAGACTCGTTTTCAAGATGTGTTCTACAGTAAGAAAGGTCGAAGAACGGTCTGGGAATTCCTAGATACACTGCCTAATTGGATAAATAAGGAAGTTTTGATACGCGTGTCTAGACTACGGTATTTTATGTTTCGATATTCATAAACACGCCCATCGACGTTTACTTGTCATACTAGCCTAATATATCTCCGTGGATTCTTCATGTTGAATGTGTAGAAAAATAGGAAACAAGACAATTGGTGTGTCTGGAATAGTTACAAAACATTCGCATCTGTTCTATACAAGAAGATACGAGAAAAGCGCGCCTCGAGTGGCCCTAGCCTTGGATATGCTTTTTCGAATGTCGGTGTCTTGAAAAAAGGCGGGAAGTTGGATGTTTGAAAATGAGAATAATAAAGCATTTTGAACAACAAAAAATACTATATAATGAGGAAATTAGAGAAAATCGAGGATTAGCATTGAATACCGTACACCTTCTAATAATTTGTCTATCGAAAGATGTCATTCTGACTTAAAAAATCAAAGCTGTGGAAGAGAAATGCCGGTGACCGTGCCCGAAGATCCCAAAAGGACAACTACCGTAACCTTCAATTATTTTGATTATCGACCAGGGAAATAGTTTATTTACGAATTTCTCAAGAACAGAATGGAAAGCAAATACCTGTTTTCTTTTCTCACATTTTCTGTTGTTTTTCCTGGTAACACTCTGTACCTATCCCATGACATTTTCTAATTTTGCAACTAATGGGTTTTTGTATCTCACGATTAATGTGAGATTTTTATGAGAATAGGTGATAGATCAAAAATCTGGAGAGGAGCAGATTTGAAAAATGAAGAAAAAATCAAACTGTCTGTTGACTTGGAATAGGGAGAGACATAAGAAAAAAGGGTATACGGTAGTTTCTCGGCTGCAGCCTGAGCAATTGGTAATGCGGTTTGCAATTTGAATCCTTTTGAAATCTGTAATGTTTTTCTGGAATAACTTTCTGAAATCTACAATTTTTTGCAATAATCTTGTCCCTTCATTTTGATAGAGAATATTTGAATTTTTCGAATGGGAGTGGGCGATTTTTTGTCTATGCAAAAAAGTCGAGGCCACCTGGCGACCGCCTCTTTGAATGTTTTGATTCCCGATGTTGTTATCCAGAGTGGAAAACATTTTTTGGCATAAGGAAAGCTGGAAATTAGGCATTTGAGAATTGAGAATTTATTGAAAAAAAAAACAAAAAAGATAACAGAATAATCAATAACAATCATGAGATAACAATAGGAAAACGATTTAATGGATTACAGAAAAAGGGTATCGATAATTTCGGACATTGACCTCAATTATCGGTTTCTATAAAAGATATCGAAAATCTGTCAACTGATAAAACATTTGTCATAATGTCACCAAAATTTCCTCGATTGACAAATTTTTGATACCTTTCACAGAAACCAAGACAATCGAGCTCAAAGTTCAAATACATATAGGAGTGGCGTTCTAGTAGACACAATGTGAATATAAATTTGGAATCTGTACGGAAGGCTCAGTTGATATCGATGAGATCTTCAACACGGAAGCTCTTCTTCTTTGGAGTCTCCTTCGCTGGCATCGAATTTTGGAGATTGAGAAGAATCTGGAGAGCATTTGAAGAGAATTGCGGAGTTGGAGATGCCTATAATGTGCGGGTTCTTTAGTTTTAACTTTTTTTATTTATTTTTTGAGCCTGGTCTTGGAAACTTGGCAAGATTTAAATAACCCTTTTATGAAAACAAATTTTCGGTTTTGAAGTTCAATTCTTCGGCTTCGAATTATATTCAAAGTCACTTTTACAGAATTTTCTTCTTACCGCAGCCTCGTTGATATCATTCTCCACATCCCGTGGATTCATATCTGAGTGACATCTGTTAATGTGGCGAATGAGGCCATTTCTAGTGACGCACGAATTTTCGCAGTGTAAACAGTGATCTGAATTTTTGCATGATTGAGTTTTACTATTTTTTTTTCCAACAAACATTTTCCATCAACTTCGGATGCTTCGAGTTGAATTGTTTTCCTGCTCGTCGTTTTCGAAGCATGGTGCTTGGTTTGTTGGTGTCTTTTAAGACGAGATTCCGCAGTGAACGTGGATGAGCAGAGATTACAGTTGTCTGAAATTGAAGTATCGTAATTGGTTTTTGTTAAACCTAATGAAGCTGAAGTTTTCGAGACTCTCAGAAACCTCAAAAAAAATTTTTAAGGAAATTTTTTTATATTTTTCACAGTGACAGAGATAAATTCATAAGAGGTTCATCAAGTTCCTGCTTTTATTCTAAGCCTGATATCTTATCAATATGAGTCCGGAAAGTTTTTGACCTAGACAATATCAAAATAAAATTCAATTAGAAAGATTGCGGTAACTTCTATTCTGAATTTTCTGACAGAAAAGACTTACAAAATTCCACCCTATCATCGCCATGAATCAGTCCGATGTGCCTAACCATTGCACCTCTTCGCACAAATGCCCTTCCACACGTTGGACAATTATCTTTAAAAAATCTATGAGAATTACTTGCTTTTAAAAAATGTTTTCCTAATCCTGAATCATCTCATAAGAAACATTTTAGGATTTGGTTTTTTTACTTTTGTGTTGCTTTTTTTGCTACCCTTTCTTGACCCCATTAAAAATAGTATTACAATTCAACCTGAAAAATCACTTACAAGTTTTTGGATATCGAAAATCCGCCGAGTCCATGTTCTCCATTTCTCAAATCGATAATGACTCTGCTTCTTCGCGAATAGAACACAACAAATTTAAAGCTATTCTCTGTCGAGGGGAATAAGAGAAAAAGGCAACACCTGTCTCCCGTCTCTTCAAATGGGGGATGTTTTGATTTCTTATATGGGTATTTGGTAGAGTTGTGTCTCGTGAGGCGGTCCTCCCAATCTTGCTGACTGGGACTGTGAAGCATATTCTCGCAGAAGTTGATTCTCGAAATGGTAGAAATTTTAAGTTAGCAATTGAAAAATTACAAAAAAATGGAGCAGAAAGGAACTGTTTGGAAATCATCCAAAATTCGATAAAGAATTTATTTCCAGTACCGGTCGATAAAATACACAAAAACGTATTTTTCCGTTCATTTTGCTTATTTTGACCATTATCAAGAGTCTGGATTTGTCAAGTTTCCATACACTTTGAAAATTTTGTTAGGGGTGTTTTCCTCTTTTTTTTTTCGAAATCTGCTCTTCCACCGATTTCTGATCCCTAACCTAGATTTTGTCATTTTCAAAAAAGCTCATAATAATTTTGAGATACAAAAACATATTAGTTGCAAAATTAGAAAATGTCATGGGATAGGTACAGAGTATTACCAGAAATGAAGCAGAGGAGAAAGTGTTTGCTTTTCATTTTGTTTTTGGGTAATTTCTAAATGAAACTCTTTTTGTGGTTCTTCATTTAAAAAAAAAAATCTAGATATCTCGCCTGCTAATTTTCAAGAAAAAAAAACAATAAAATTAGGTTTTGTTTTGGCTAATCTTGACCACTTTTTTGTTGAAGAAATAGAAACCTGGAACAAAATTTTATCAGCATCAGTTGAGCCTAAAGGTATTTTTTCCAAATAATCGAAAACAAAATTGCAACAATAGGGAAAGATAAACAAGATGGACCATCATTCAAAAAAACAAGATGGACCAACATACTCCGAATACCGTAAAACCTGTTTTAAAAAGGTTCCTTAAAACTGGAACTTCATCTTTTTTCCTTTGAAAGTTGCTCAATTTTGTGAAGTTCGTAGATTTTCCTGAATTTAGAATAAGAATACAACGGTTTTTAGGATACAATTTTTTTATAGGCAAAAAAGAAGGACCCTTCGAAGATACAATGAAACAACAAAAGAACCGACCCTTCTAATACAGGTTGTACGTTAAGTTACAATACCTCAAAAATGAAGACACGGGAAAAAGATAAAGAATTAGAAGCCAGAATTATCAGTACCAACCCGGTTTTCTTCACAAAATCATATTTTCGTTGGAGCTTCGTTTTCTTCTTGAATGGGAGCAGGATTTTCTCCCGTACTCGGCAGGAAATTGAGCAGAAATTGTGACAGATTGGGGACAAGTTCAGGAGTTTTAGCAGTCTGTAACAGTATGAATGAAAAACAATTAACTTGTTCTATTTACAGTATTCGCCTTATTGCTTTCATCTTCTTCTTTCGAGATCATTTCGGAATGCATCCTCTTCACGTGGCGAGTGTGATAATCTTTTCTCGTAAACGTACTCTCACAATACAAACAGTTATCTTAAAGTTCCATAATTTATGTTTTTCTGCTCCCTTAGCTTACATTTTCCATCCACCAAAAATGCATGAACTTTTACTGTTGACCGTTTTTGACGGACGACTGGAAACTTGTGGACAAATTCTTGGTGTACTTTGAGTTGATGTTTCCGAACGAATGAATTTGAGCACAACTCACATTTGTCTGAAATTGTACAGAGTTTATGATTCAGTAGTGAAAATCAGACTTACGGATTTTCCTTTCTCCAACGCCATGATTCTCTGCAATATGCCTATTTCGATTGCTTAATGTAGTGAATAGCCGACCACACGTTGTGCAGGAATCTGAAATTCTATTTGTATAGAGTAGAGTTACAAATTATTCATGGAGAATTTTCAAATAATTAGCTCATCTGGACGGTGATTCAACTAGTACGATCTTCTCAAAAACCAATCATCAAATCTGTTGTCATTTTACAAGACACCATACTTGAAAAGCAGGGCAGATATATAAACATGCAAAGACTTACGAGCTGGTTTATTTTCAAAATTCATAAAATCTGTCTGCTCCATTTCTATTTATTCTACTGCTGGTATAGAAATCAGAAATTTGAATTTGGTGAAGAAAGAAGCCCAGGAGCGCGCCACCTGGTGACCTCCCCTTCATTTGGGATGTTTTGATTTGGTACTCTCGGCAGACTTTTTTCCCGAATAGGAAAAACAAAAAGTGGGGAAGGAAATTTCAAAATATGGGTCTTTCCAGAATAGAACATTTAGATGCGCAATTGTTCAAATCTACAGTAGTTCTAAAATTCAAAATTATCAAAAAAATGAGAATTACATTTATCTACAGTAACCATTGAGTAATTCAGAACATTAGGAAACTCTACAAAAACACTACAGTAATCCCGAGACGCGACAATCTGAAAAGTTGGAAAATTAAATCATCTACAGTAATCCTGACAACCAGCTATCCACAAAGTGAGGCTATTTTTGCTTAATTTGGTCTGTTTTGAGCAATTTTCCATGATTTCTTCACAGGTAAAATGCGAACGGATCCGTTAAGGACGCTCAGCGTTCGCGCGCGGTTGAAATAGGAACCGCATACGGACCGCACGCGACCCGTTTTCAGAAAACCACAGCACATTATTCCGTATTCCTCCGTATTCTGTCCGTTCGCGAACTCCGTATCCGATCCGCTTGCGAATGATGGAAAAACGGATCCGTTCGCGAATCAGACAAAA